TAACGTTACATTACATTACATTACATTTACTTACATAACGTTACATTACATACCTTACATTACATTACATTACATTACTTACATTACATTTCATTTCATTTCATTTCATTACATTACATTTACTTACATAACGTTACATTACATTACATTACATTTACTTACATAACGTTACATTACATTACATTACATTTACTTACATAACGTTACATTACATTACATTACATTTACTTACATAACGTTACATTACATTACCTTACCTTACATTACATTACATTTACTTACATAACGTTACATTACATTACATTTACTTACATAACGTTACATTACATTACCTTACCTTACCTTACATTACATTTACTTACATAACGTTACATTACATTACATTTACTTACATAACGTTACATTACATTACCTTACCTTTTCTTACATTACATTTACTTACATTACATACATACGTACGATGTTTCAGCCCCGTCGACATGACGCGGCTCAGATCCCATCATGCCATGCACCTGTTGAATTTCCCAAGTGGACCAGCGACCACTGTTTTTTTGGATGCTATCGCCCGTGCCAAGTGGAGTTGACCAAAATTCGGAACACAAAATCCATGGTTGATCATCAAGTTCTTTTTGAACAGTGCGACTGTGAGGTATATTTCACTCTGAGACAGGCCCAAAAATGTTTTTTTTCGTGGGAAGCCTATGGCACTGTTGGTGAGTTGCACTTGCAGCCCTGTGAGAGGCGACACTCTTCGCGTTTGAAGCTCAGATTTCCCGAAAAAGACGTTGACACATGGGATGAAGGGGACGATGAGCTCATGATGATGATGATGATGATGATGATGGTGGTAGTCATGGTGGTAGTCATGATGGTAGTCATGATGGTAGTCATGATGTCCATCATGGAAATTGTTGGAACTGCGTCTGGCGGGGGGATGCACTTCAACCCATTTTTGTGGGATGTAACCTGTTTGGGGCGGCCAAGAGGGGTTGTCTAGCCTACCCGAGAAAGGTTTTAAGGTACATAGTGACATGGATCAAGATTGATTCAGAAAGATTCAGGTGAAATTGTCATGGTGTTCTGTTTGCATGCATAACAATGGTAGTTCAAAAGGGGAAGGGTCAATATCAATCGTCCCACACTTGGATAGATCACCAGGTACCATGTACCACGCTGAATTTTGACTTCAATATCATTGACTCCCAAAAATAGTTTGTGTTGTGATGCTGAGTCAGTCCTTTTTTTTCGAGCGCCTTAAAGCATTTGTCCAAGCGGAGCCTCACCCACGCCCCAAGCGGCTGCTGAGGCTCTTGATGTCCCTACTGAATCTGGCCTCATTTGTGTCCTCCAATTTGGGCGCCTTTATCACACATTTGCTGGAGGTTAATGAATCCGTCCCCTGGTTTTGATGGGTTGGGATAAGGCAGGTTGGCTTAGATGGGTAAACCTCGGGTAGTTGAATATACTTTAAGGAGTTTGCCACAAATGGAAAATGTGCGAACCAAGAAAATATATCACGATGTTTCAGGTATTTGTTTTTTTTGCCGGGGTTTGGTTTGGATTCTTCGCAGGTTGGTCTGGTATTGCTGGGTCTGAAAACGAACCCAAGTCATGGCCATTAAAAGATTTGACTGCAGGGAAAATGATGAAGACCCACTTGATTTTTGGGTACCTTAGACTAACATATGCGCGGGTAAGACTCAATGAAGACGATTGAAGAGGTTAAGATGGTGCCGCAATAATATAGACCTGCGGGACAGCCCAAGGGCTGGTTCGTGGTTTCAAATGGTATTGTATTTTCATCAGCTGTATTTGAGTTGATTGCAGAAATCCAGGTCCCACAGGGACTGCAGATGGTCATTTGTAGGATCATAGACAATCCCATATTGGGGTACGGTGTGCAAAGACTCTTCCACAAAGTGCCTTGAACTGTGGGTGATGTCGCCAAAATCCTTCGGAATTTCCAGCCACAGCAGCCAAAGATGTCCAAGGGGGGCGAATCGTTGATATGCCAAAAGTTTGATGTCTCAGCATGGTTTGTTTGTTTGGCTACATCATGCTACATCAATGATCATCAATGCTCCTTTACACTCCACGTTACCACGTTGCCTCTACCCAAAGGTGGTACCAGTTCAGACCACAGTGATCAAGTGATCCTGCTGTCACTGCGCATCCCTTCGGAGAAGCTGAGGACTTTCATAACTTGTCCTTGCTGATTTTCCTGTGCAATGTCAGTGGATTGCTTCCTTTGGTGCCCCTGAGCCGCTACCCTGCTGGGGCTGGTCGGGTTAATCTGGATGAGCCATGATTCATATCGCAATGTTCATCAATTTTCAAGATTCAGTGGTGCAAAACAAAATGGACAAAGGATGAAAAGGAACGTGACAGTGATGACAATGATGAAGGCAGGACATGATCCAGCAAAATGTTTTGAAAGCTGGCGCGCCAACTGTGTTTTAGATTGGCTTTGCTTTGGCCATGTTTCCCATTTCAACACGTGTGTTCCTTTGCTGGATTTAGCAAAAATTGTAAGTTGCATCAACTCTTGCCATGTTTTGCCTGAAAAAGGGTACCAGAAAAATTCATCGCTTTGTCATCATGTTCCCTATTGAAATCCCCATCAAGAATTGGTGTCCGGTGGACAGGACCTGCATGACCTGCCAAACAGGCAGCTTTCCAATGCGAATGGGACAAAAAGTGACGTGTTTCTGCGGCACGAGGAGATTTAAGATGATTTAAATTGATTTAAGATCAACTTCAGGTGTCTCAGATGATTTTCCCCAAAGAAAAGCTCTTTGGGAAGGCCGCAAAACGAAGTCCTACGGGAGGTGTTGCAACTGAGATTGCCTGGTTGGATCGGATGATCCCTGATTGACACGATTGCAATGGGTTCAATGACGCTGAACCAATCGCTGAAATACTGCTTGGTGGTTTGGAACATTTATTTTTCCATAGATTGGGAATAATCATCCCAACTGACGAACTCATATTTTTCAGAGGGGTAGGTCAACCACCAACCAGAAAATGTTGAAATTCTTTCCAGTTTCCGGTCCAAGCTCCCTTTGGCAACAGGTACTGCTGCCAATGCTGCGCGACTCAAAGCAACGTATGGATCTGAGCATTTGCTGATTCTTTCGGTGAAGACATGTGGTTGGGTTGTGATGTCAAATGTCCAAAGCAGCAAGGCGGGGATTTCTGGATACCCCAGGTCGCTATGTTTGATCAGGGTGCAAGAAATTCTAATCCTGTCATGATTTTCTTCATTTAAATGACTCTTTTGGGGTATTTTACCAAGGGGGGTCTTGATACCTCATGGGGTATCATCCACATAGGAAGCCACGAGCTGGTAAGGAATTGCTCCAGGCCCAGTCCCAGTGGTGTGATTAGCAGGCAGCAGGCTGAAGAAAACAGCATCGAGAATTTGAAATTCCAACTTATTGTAATATCATTGTGTAAACCTGCAGTTTGTGGGGTTGCAAAATGTTTTAGAAAGGTATAATCCACCAACCAACCATTTGCTAGAGTGATCATTGCCATTTCTCTGCAAGATACTAAGGCTATATATAGTTTCTGAAGGGGAAGTATTATCAAAGCCATATTGTTTCAGCAGGGTGAGTCTAGACAGTGGGAGGCACCGCTTTTGCGTAGCCAAACTACCTAGTGGTACTGTAGCTAATACCTGAGGCAGGAAGACACGTCACCTGTGTTGGTTTGGATCACCAAGATAGCAACTAAAATGGCTATGGATCAATACCTATACATACCATTTTTAGTGGGATGAACATCCATTTACCAGCTATTTTGATGTGAACTACAGGGGTACTATTGGTTTTGACCCATCCCCAAAGAACTGAAAAGCGGATTCTCATTCCCCGTCCAAGGTGCACCTCAAGCTTGAAGCACGGCCACAGTAGACAGCCACCACCAAGTGCAGGGTGATATGCTGGTATTTGTGACCAGCCAGCACATGTTGTTTATTTCTGTGACAAGATAAAATTGACCACTCTTCGGTCTTTTTGATCCAGGGTGACTTGATACAAGTTGGTGGTTTGTACGTTTCCTCCAACCACGGAACCATACCATATGGGCGTGGGGCAATTTTTGAGACTTCAGGGAACACTTTTTGGTATTGACCATCCAATTTTCCACCCCAAGACGGCTACCTTCGCCACCTTTGCAAGTCAGATTATGGTATGCAACACATGTGTAAACAGTATTATGCAATACAATATATGTATATAGTGGTGTATATATATATACACATAGTTGTACACAGAGAAACTGTATGAAGCTGTATCATATACACAAATGTATGCATATAGTGTATGCCCATACGTATGTATAAATGTGCGCAAGTGTATTTTAATATACAGACACACAACTACCGGATCAATATGTTGAGCATGCGAGACCCTCATCCTCTTTTGGTGGCCGTCGAGACATTGTGTCCAACCCTTGTGCTCTAGCATAATTCAGGTTGTTTTTTCCTGGTGGTTTTCTTGCAGCTTTGATCCGCCATGGCCAAATGCTGCAACCGTAGAATACCAGGGGTGTCTCAGTTAGGGCCCCCTTTCAGCCACCATTTTTTTTGGCAGATTTTTCAAGTGCTGAGCTACTGCCAAACCAGTGGCCTTGGAGGTAGAGATGCAGCCTGGTGACCTAAGATTTGGCAAAATCCCTGACAATCTGGTTTGTCCAAGAATCAGGGATGTGCCCCCCAGGTCAAGAGGCACTTCTTGGCGAAAATGATGTTCTCAGACAAAGCCACCTACCAGGCTGTTTTGTTTGCCCTTTCAGCTCAGTCACTTTGTCTATCAGGACCATCGAAGCATGAATCTTTTCGGATAGGATGACCAGTTCTGATCCAATCACATCCTGACCTCAGTCTTTGGATGTCCCAAAAATGGATAAAAAGTGGCTTGAACTTGAGCAAGGGGTGCTTTGAGAGGCGTCATACAATGTCAATACAGTCAATATAGTCGATATAGAATCGGAGCCTCTTTGCGGGAATCATGCACATAGATGTAAGATGATGTAAGTATTCCAGTTGCGGGATAGAACATCCATGAACTGCTCGGGCCCAGTGCACCTCTCAGCTCTCACGCGACTTTTGCGCGCTCAGAGACAGTCATTGCCAAAGGTGGCAAATGGCGAAGGCTCGGACAAGTGGGAGGTACATGGTGTTTTTGTTTTGGGTGGTTCTGCTGTATTGCTGACACTTTGAAAGCCCCAATCCGCATAGTTGTCCTTGCTTTCCGCTGAACATGGGCAAATCCCCAGAATTCAAGCTTGATGGCTTCTGAATCTTCTGAGCAGTCTGGTGGTAGGCAAGCTAGCGGGCTTTCAAAGTAAAGACCTTGGAATACAAAGATCTTGCCCAGATGCGAGCCTGGAAAGGAACGCTTTGCTGAGGTTTATTCTTGTATAATAGTAACCAGAAAAAAGATAGAATAGTAACTTATGACTATTTCGGTTAGAAATTAACTGTTTATCTTTTTGGGGGTTGCTACAATCACAAGAGAAAGTCCAATGCAATAAACGTTCAATAACCATCAATACCGCCTTTCCAAGTTGGCCTTGAGCTAGCACCTCGCGACCCAATGTCAGAGACCTTTGATCCAACATATTGGAATGTTGCTCGACATGGCAAGATCTTCCGGTGAAGGTTGATGTGTTTGCAACCCACCACAAGCTGTCCTTATCGTTCCAGAAGCGAAGAGATCAGTTGGTGAATGGTGGCACCCCGTGCTCAAAAGGCAAGGACAATCGTCGGCAGTTTTTGGTAGATTGACTGAATCCAATCTTTTTCACAGGTACTTGGGAAGGGATGGGAAGGGTTGATAAAGGTCGGAACTAGGACCGTGCCTCATGGCACCTTGCTCAGACATGATTCAAAGTGATCATGGGAAAAGGGATGGTCATACCCCTCTGAAATCACAGCTTGACAAATATCCCATATAAGGAATCCGGAGTACTGTTGGGTGACCATCCCCATATAGATCTATTATAGTGTGGCTTGATGTGTTTGATCATGACACATCCGTAATGTTTCCATATCTTGTTGCTTAAATCCCAGTCACTGCCTGTTGAATCCCATGTTACTCGTAAAATGTTTGCGTGTGTTTTCGTCATTGATCATTTCTCTCTGGCGAATTGCTATGAAAAAATACCTAAGCATACCTAAGCCACCTTGTTCTGTTGTGCGGATCAATGACGGGATCAGACACCGGCATGGGTTTGGCAGCGGAAAATACATGCGATGACTGACTTAAACGCCAAACCCACCGTAGGCGAACGTCACGAAGTGAAAAATCAAAGTAAGCCAGGCAGTACGCTCAACAAAGAATTTGCGAAGAGCAATGAATCTCCCGAAACGCGACACCAACCAATCTCCTGCAGAGAAAGGTAAAGGCCCACCGCACCTCAACGGTGCGCACGCCATCTGATGAACTTGAAATCACAGACACGCCCAGAGCCAGCACAACATTGTGGTAGCCCAAACGAGGCAGTCTGGAGGCACATAGTCGAAGATCACACCGTGGGCGAAACTGAAAGCAACGTCCAGGTAAGCCCACTGCGTAGAGCGATTTGAACTAGTCGAACTTTGGGCAAGACAGCCACAACCTCACGAAGTGGCCGCAATGTCCAAAGCGATCCACAACCAAAGCCAAGGAGAAGCATACCAGAACTGAATCACATAGTTGAAGACGACCATAAGATAAGCAAAAACATGCAACTCTACAACCTAATTGCCCCAAGTACTGAACATGAAGCCGGCGATCACGACCGGGGAGCTCCACTTTGACATAGTGCAACTCTCAGCGGGGTGACCAAGCAATTGCATGAGAGCCAAAGCAATCGCCAGCTATCCAACAAACATGGGCAAAGCAAAATTGCCACCGTACACAAACTGGATCACTCGCCAAAGGCCAAAATGGGATGACGAGGACATTGCACCAAGGACGTGACGGCGGGACCAGCGCAGACCACAGCATTTTTGCGCTTAAAAGTCATAACATATGGATGCAAATACATGCAGACATCCAGACATGCAATGTGCGTGCTTGCATGCATCCCTACATACATACATACATGCATGTAACGCATTTGTTGCGAGGATCACTCGAAGTACAGAGCAGTGATTGCTGGGTAGTTTTTGAACATCCTTATCCTTGCGTTCTGTGTATAGTGTTGGTTGGGTTGGCACCTCAAACCCTCCATGATCTCACCTGGAAAGCTTCCCGTTCGCCGTAACGCCTCAGCGGGGGTCGCCACCCGCGACCGTGTTGGGCACCATGGAACAAGTGGGGCGAGAAGTTGGGCAGCAGATTGCACAGAGACAAGCAGCGAGTTGCATGGTGAACGAAGGGAGCGATGGCAGCTAGGAGTATATTTTGATTCCAAACCATAGCCACAGGGAGCCAGTTGGAGCTACGAATTGAGTTTCACCACATCAGAGTAATGGGGCACAGAAAATGAAATGCCCTATGTGGGCTGGGTAACCCGGGCGAATGCGTTGCAGGTCATTCCAGCGACGGATGAAGATATACTATATGTACATATATATATATATCATATTTATATATACATATTTTATATGTTTTAAGATATATATATATATACATATTATATATATATACATTTTATATATATATATACATATTATATATATATACATATTATATATTATATATACACATATTATATTATATATATATTATATTATATATATACATATTATATATATATACATACCAGTAGTACCGCACAAGGCGGTGGCGGAAGTTTCAAAAATAGGAAACCTATAGGAGAAGTGGGTTGTTGTGATGCATGGATGGCAGAGCGAATCCACTGATGGACCGAAAGGTGTTTTTTGGCGTCGCTGCGGTGGTTGCAGTGGCCTCACCCACAACTCCTGGATGAAGTGTGGCGTAGTGCAATTGTAGTTGTAGTGTAGTGGAGTTGTAGTTGTAGTGTGGTGTAATTAGTATAGTGTAGGTGCAGTTGCAGTTGTAGTTATGGTGTTGTGTAATTGATGTAGTGCAATGTAGTGTAATGTAGTGTACCGTTGTGTACTGTAGTGTAGTATAGTGTAGTCTAGTGTAGCCTAGTCTAGTGTAGCGTAGTGTAGTGTAAAATAGTGTAGCTGTAGCTGTAGTCGTAGTTGTAGATGTAGTTTGTGTAGTGCTGGTGTGGTGTAGCGCAGTGTACTGCAGTGTAATTAGTATAGTGTAATTAGTGCAGTGTAGGGTAGGGTAGGGTAGTTGTAGTTGTAGTTGTAGGTGTAGTGTAGTGTAGTGTAATTCCCTGCGCCTGCCACGCAGATCGACACCTGAACGTCAAAAAGTGGTCCGAACATGTGCTTTTAACATGTTCACTTCGAAATGTGCTTCGCGCCACAACGGCGTGCACTTTTTCGATATCTCAGCTTCCAAAAAGTGGTCCAAACCTGGTCTGTTTTGTACATTTTGACTTCGAAATGTGCTTCGGGCCACAGCGGCGTGAAACTTTTCATCTCTCATCTGGCCAGATGGCTCCGCACCCGCCGCTTTAGCGAGCCTACTTTCCGACCCACCGGAGCCACAAATCATTGGAAAATCCCAGTGTTTTGCGACTTTCCTACCTTTTCGCGCACCTGCATCTATTTTCTTTCGACTCTTTCTCTTCTCTGATCTTCTCTTTTCTGCTCTTCTCTGATCTTCTCTTTTCTGCTCTTCTCTTCTCTGTCTCTTCCCATCTCTGGTTTCCCATCTGTCCATATTGTCGGAAGTTTGACTTCTAAAACTTCCTTCGGTTATATATATATATACATATATACATATATACATATATACATATATACATATATACATATATACATATTACATATATACATATATACATATATACATATGTATATATATATATTTATGTATTTATTGATTTACAAATTATATATAATTGTTTTATGTATATATATATATGTATATTTACACTAAATACACATTCTATATTTATATATACACTATATCCACAATATATGTAAATATATATATATACATACATACACACATACATACATACATACATACATACATACATACATACATTATATGTATATATACCTTTAACATGGCACTTCAACATGGGAAATGGCACCGTTCTGCACAGAAACTTTATCTTCCACCCTTGAGTTTTCTGGCTTCTTGTTGGGGTTTGATCAACATTTGGCCGAGCTGTGCCTGAGTTTTCCCCTGGACTCGTGCAGTTACCAGATGCTACCAGCTTGATCAGCCAAGGCTACAAGAGCTCATGGTGCCATCCTCAGTGAACCATAGATCGTGCATCATATCTATCATCCTTGGCCAGTGAATGGCGGGTCAAAATCTAAAACTAGTCGGATCGCGCCCCGTTTTCTTTGGGCGTTAACCCAGCTGGGTAGTTCCATGTTGTTCTATGAGATCAATTAAGACAAGCTAATGCTGTTGGTCTGCCGTTTGGAATATCGTTCGGACCCAAGTCTTGTCCCGTGCCTCTGAGGCCCGAGTATCTGAAGGAACTGATGACTCCCACCTTGAGAACGGGTACCCTCTTCAACATCAAGCCTTCAGACTGGCAGGACGGCGCGGTACTGGGGATGTGAAGGAGGAGGAATAGCTGCATGGCAAGTGGAAACTGAGATTGGTGGATTCACTCTGCTTGGCGGGCTCGAAATGGTCTGAAATCAAACAGCCAAGAAATTACCTGCGAAGAAATGGATGGGTCTATGTTGACTTGTTTGGGGGTCTGAGGTACATGGTTGCAAACTCACATGGTGACGAAAAAATTGTCTTGGAAGATGTATGTTTTCGGAAACAACCATTTTTGTTTTTGTGCTGAGGTTCACCTTCTAGCAGTTTGACACGGCCATAGGAAATGTTCAGTTTAACAAAGCCGTTGGAGTCGTGACCCAGGACTATTGCCTTAGGTGGAACATTGTGTGTACGGTGCGCACTGGGAAGACGGAGACTGGGGAGACTGGGGGTGGACCAGAGTCCTGCTACTTCTTGATGGTTGGTTCAACTATAAGCCTTTCTGGGAATTTGTGAGTTCATTTGTTTACAAGTCATTGTAAAGGTTCGTCCATCTTGGTCTTTGGGAGTTTTTTTTCGTTCTCTCACCAATATATTCAATAGTCAGTCGTAGGAACACAGCTGAACGGTCCCTTGATATTAATTGGACTTGGAGAAATTGGCCAAACTTTTTGAGGTCATGGCACAGTAGTAGATGGAGGCGGTGAAGAATCCCCTGACAGGATTTGGGGCTGGTGACTGGCGTGGCGATTTTCGCCATCTACCTTGCATCTCGGCTACAACATGAGTCCAGCAATGAAAGCCATAGCCCCATACCATCCCATTGTGCTGGTTGATCAATTGGTATGCAAATTGTATGACTTACAATAGGTGTGCATGATGGCTTAGAACAATCCCCATCGGTCCCAATCATTGAACCAGCTGGTATGATCCACTACAAGGTGGTCCCCCCAACTTGGATGTTTGTATGTTGATAAACACCATTGACTATAGATATATCTACCACAAGCATCCATAAGCCATAAAATTCACCAAGTTATACTAGCCAAGCAACAAGGGTATGATGGCTCCGCTTGCAAGCTGAACACTCTGAGTCAATTCTAGCCATGGCTTGAGATTTGATGTCTTTTGAAAAAAGCTGGGCATGTCCTGCACTACCAGTTTATTAATGTTTATTATATGTTCTTCTTTGATTTTGTGATTCTACACTGATATCATGTCCATCCCTTTCTGGGATATGGATAATTCCAATATATTCCAATCAACTGCTCGTATTTTTGAGGGCTCGGGGATTCTTAGCAACCTGCAAGATGGTGATATCATGAAGACATGAGCCAAAGAATTTCAGTGCACAACTGCTATAGTGAGCTACTGTAAATAAACATGGTGGGCCTATCAATTAAATGTTCTGTAGGTTTTGTTCACCTACAATTCTTGCGAACTTTCCAGGGATGGTGTTTCCCATGTTTTTTTCCCACTTACTGTTGGGTTTAAGTGGTGTGTTGTGACAGCAGCGACGTTGGAGTGTCCCATTCTCAGGGATAATTTGCAGGAAATTTGAGGAAGCCCCCTCTATTTGGGTAAAAAATCATAACTTCCTGTAGATCTCCCGTCGGTTTCTCAAACTGGGGGTACCCCCAATCAAACCAGTGCTGCCCCCATTAGAAATGACCCATTTTGGAGCATAGAAACGTTTCTGGACACCACCAAGGTGCATTGCATTCCATTTAATATCACACTACATCACATTACCATTCTCCCACTATGCAACATGACATTCCCGTATGATATTCCCATGATCTCCCCCGATTAGAGTCCTTCCGAGTTCACGCTGGCCTGGTTCTCCATCTTCATAGAGGCGATCTTCCCTGGGGTATGGCGATCCCCAAACGACTGACAGGGTGTTGTGTTGTTAATTTGGGGTATGGTGTAGCAACCTTAACGCTTTTAAGACATCACCTGAAGCAATGAAGACGGAAAGATGCGCATGTTTTTTCGAAGTAACTCATGGTTTCTGTGATTTTCCCATGACTTTTGGATGGGACCCTGAAAATAAAAGGCTTGGTGGTGATGATCTTTCCGACGATCAACCAGGGTTTGACGTCTCAAGATCGCTGGTGCAAAGCGCAGCATCATTTTGCTATGGGAAACCACTACAGTAGGACGATTCACTAGTGAACATGGCTCCTATATTTTGTGTTTCCAAATGCAGTGTCTGAAAAATTGAACCACTCCCATGTGAAGATGTGTGAAAAGGCTATTGTGTTATTTTCAATGAAACTGCGTTTGATTTAGCTGAAACAGCCCAGCATGTGGCAGGCCTTTCTGACGTTCCTGACCTTGTTCATTGGCCATTTGGCCTGGTATTTGCTCCTAAAGAGGACAGGAGTGCTGCAGTACTTGGGTGACTACAGGAAATTCTACTGGGAATCATGGTCGAAGCATGTTGAAACTGGGAGTTCATTCTTGGTCACTCACATACTCCCCAGAAACCCTGGTTCAGTATTGGATTTGGTCATTTCATTTCGAGGTACCATTCTGCGGGTGTGATCAATTGTGATGTCATCCCACGAGTCAGGGGCCAACTCGGTCAGGGGAGGTTGCATGGGCGCCGCTGGCAACGTGGTTTTCATCATCCTCTATGTGACTCGGCGTGTTTTTTGCCCTGGTGCGTTGAGAATGTTGCGTTCTTTGCCCCATTGGCGCAGGAAAGATGAACAGATGCTTGAGATATCACTTGAAGACTAGGGGGCAACGCAACGGGCATTGCCGGGAAGAAGAGACGCCTTTGTACCTCCTTTGTGAAAATGAATATGGGGGTAGTCTGGTCGAGCTGAAGTCACTTGACGATAAGATTCTGGACTGCTTCCACAGCATCAATTTTATCCAGTAGGAACATGTTGAAATGTTCAGTTTTTCAACATGTCAAGCTTGTGATCACCACACTGACTTCCAATCGCATCAGACTATCTACTATTTTCAAGCATCTTTTGGGGTTTCCCCTGTACCTGAAGTTCCAGCCGGTTTTGATGTGCTTTAATGCATTTTTTCTGGTAGCGCCCAAATGGTGGTTTTGTAATGTTTTTGTGATATCCTAATTTTGGCCGGGTCACTGACACTGGTACATCCAATCCAATGTGCACTCCTTGGCGAATCTGCAGCACCTATATACGTTGTTAGGTTTCCCCCGACGTACCGACTGCCTCGATGAAAGACACTGATGCTGTTTGGGATGCTTCGTTTGAGCAGCGGTCAATGTATCAAGCTGGCATTTTTGTTTCTTGGGGACTAGCCAGATTGGTAATGGATGCATCGTGAACTGTACCAACTGGTTCATATCGCCATGACTAGGCAGTGTGTGTTCAGTCGTAGTTTCCAATTTTCATTGGGGGTTTTGCTCAATGTCTCTGTGCTTCTCTGTGCTGACGCTGATGTCACTGGTCGTTTGAAAACGATTCAACTGGTCGGCTTGAGGCTTTCAGCGGCTTCTCCCACTTGAACACAGCAATTCAGGTGAAAGGAGCTGGGGCTCCCAGCTGCCAAAGTGGCTGCTCAGCCTTTTGTGGTGAAAGTTGCCTGCCCTTTTGTGGCTACAAATAATAATAATGAGGATGGATATATGATATTTACTGTTAATGCTGATCAGGATGTTAATACTATTAGCTCTCAACATGTATCAACTGTATCACTGCAGCCCTTTGGCTGGAGGAGAACACTTTCTTACAGAGTAGAACTCGTGAGACGTGAGACTCTCTCGAGAATGGGCTGTGCTGCGAGTGTGAGTGCAAAGGTGCAGCATGTCGGGGCATCGCAAAATCTGAGATGTAGAAACCGAGTGCAATAACTCTGTAAACCTTGGTGGGGTTCATGAGTTTTTTGGGGTTGTTTGATGTTTTTTGTGTGTCTAAGATCAGCCATGCCAGCTTAGATATGTTTTTCTCTGCACCTTTGCAGCTGTTTCAATGGGTTCCAGCAGCCAGAATGAAGATGTCTATCATGCTCTATCTCATATACATCTAAGATAAATCTAATATATATATATAGTTTTATATAATTACATATATATATATATATATAGATAGTTATATGATATATATATATATATGTAATTATATATAATATATAATTATATATATATACACACTGTATACACACATATATGAAGGTTTCCAAAAATGGTGGTACCACAAATCATCCAAAATTGGAGCATGTTAGTATTGCAACCAATGCTTTTGAGGATCCAGCAGTACTTACATTTTGAGGATCCCCTATTTTGAGAAACCCCTATACATGCATGCATACATACGTACCTACAGACATACAGACATACAGACATACAGACATACACAGACATACAGACATACATACCTACCTACCTACCTATGTACGTACGTACGTACGTACGTGCATGCATGCATGCATTGATGATCGACCGAAAGTGACATATATTCGGACTGAGTAATTTTATCTCCTCAATGGTATAGTATCATGTACCTAGGATCATATGAGTATGATCAAAATCATTGCCACAAAAATGGATGGCTCCAGATCATAAATAAAATAAATCAAAATGACACAAAATGACCAATATAGTGTGGGTCCATTGGCACCTTAAGTTTGAATATGCTTGGCCGGAAGCCGCAGGTCGTGGACTTTGATCCGGTGGCTGTCGACCTTGCAGGAAATCAGCGGACCTCTAGGGTGGCATTGGGTTTTCCTTGGAGGGAAAATTATAGCGATCTCAATGGCCCTCACCAAAATGGCTTATCTCAGGTATGGGAACTAGTATGAACTTGTCTAAATTTGCTCAGATACGTGACAAAACCCAGTACATTTTACAAATCTGATCAGTTTCCAGCCCATGTTTTGTTCAACAGACGGCAATCATTGAAATACGATCTTCCCAGAAATGCTGTCAAAAATTGCAGGAAACCCGTATCCTGTGGATTTTCCCTCAAATTCATCCATCTGTCGAGAATATAGTTAGATCCAGATCCGGGAAAATCGACCTGGTGACTGTCCCCCGGTGAACATGGCGTTCAGGTTGGTGTAACAAGGATTTCCACCAAAATCAGGATCCATGTGAAACCAAGATACAGCTGACTTCTACCGAGAGTTCGCGTGTTTTCTGTGATGTTCACCCGGATGAAACCAGCAGCGGCCAGGAGACGAAGTGGCAAAACAATCAACTCTTCGCTCCTGGACAGCAACACCCATCCCTGGTGTGCCATGCCCGCCCAATCGCTTCTCGGATCGAACTGATGAATAAAAACCTCAGTGGAGTCCTGCAAAAGTACACCAAGTCTTGATTGCCAAATACCCAAAAAGAAAAGCACTAAACTATACTAAACCATCGAAAGCCCCGCAAAAAAGAGATTATGTCCATTGATTTCCATGGGTTTTAACTGTGGTATCTTTGGTGAAAAGTGGAAATTGCCATTGATTCCCATTTGAAGTTCTGGGAGTATCTGTTCCGAAATCCAATTGAGCAGAGAAGCGGTCCCTAGGACGTGGCACCCCGAAACCGCATGTGTCATGGGCGTGTTAGGCACTATGCATGAGCTGCACTTGATGAAGATGGAGAAGTATGCGGGCAAGATTGAGAAACCTGTCCATGACCCATACTCATGCGGTGCGGAAATCCTCTCTGGCTAAGAAGAATGAACGGTTTTGATGGAATGAGTAGTGAATATATACAGTAATACACCATGATAAGATTGAAAAGTCTTTGAATTGCTGGTGTTTACTCTCATGTATCTCAAGGCAGCCCTGCCACCGATACCAGAGGAGATGACCTACAATCATCATCCATTGGACCAATGTAAGTTTGTTGCCGCTTCAGCAGTAATTTACTGGTACCTTCATGGTTTTTTTTGGGCCACAGAATTTTAGAACATATTTTATTTAACAATGGTTTTATCCAACCATGTTGGTTTCTGTATGTTCCCTGTGGACCCTGTCCCCTGCGTTAGCAGTTCCTTCAACAAAAAACCCTGCGCTACGCGAATTGGATGAACACTTGCAGATCAATCTTCGGCAAACATCGAAAGCTGAGCAGTGTTGAAAAGCCCTGTCGATGATTGCAGAGATTTTACTACCATTATTATTGTATGATATTGTATGTAATATATATATATATTATTAATTATTATTATTATGAATATTTTTGTTATTATTATTAATTATTATTATTGTATCCTAATGCACCGGGAATCCCGTTCTTGACCGACCTGGGCATTTCGGGCTTTGAAGGTCCCAATTGGTTTTGAAGTTTATTAGTTATATATAATTATATATATATAGCTATACCATCTATATCCCATCATCCCATCCCCATGGTATCCCCACTATATCCCAGCTATATCTCGTCCAGGAAAGCCCCGCACGAGCTCCACATCAAAGTGGCATGCAAACGGCTCGATGCTGAGATCCTGTCCGAGCAGATCCTCTCAGAGCAGATGACAGAGTCTGAGCGAATCCGTCCTTAGAGTCCGACCTCTTCGCGGCGCACTTTCTGAGGTGTTTCGTACAGTTTTTTCTGTTGTGGAAAGATGTTGAAAGCAGAATCTCATCCAGGAATGGCAAAAAATAACGTTGATTCTAGTTGTTTCGGATGACCATAGTTTAGGACTCTTATCAGTGCATGATCTGGTTTTCTTCTATGGCCTGGAATTTGACATGTGACTCTCAATCTCAGGCATGGCTTGTGCGGATACCATAGACCATAGCTATCCTTCAGCAAGCCAATAAGGCAGGCTGGACGCATCCATGAACATCAGATCCACGCGTAGATGATCTAAGACTGGAAATTTGGAATTGTCATGCACGTTCCCCGTTGGCCACATTAGAGTTTGTACCGAAGAATGTGCAGTTGGGCATTTTTCTGTTGAGAAATTTCCACTACGGAACACCACGAAAGAATTGCGCCAATGTCCTTGCCCTGGACGATCACCAGATGATAAAAACCCTTCATGTATCATGAAGCAACCAGCATGAGGATTTTCAAGGGCTGACCAATGACCACAAGGGGATAAGGGGATGTGGGATTTTCGCAAGAACCTCGGAGCTTGGAAAAGCAGTTTTCCATTTTCACGCGCCGACCCAAAGTGGCTGAGTGTTAAAAGCGTTGACCCTCCACCTGGCGTTGGCTGAATTTTTTATGGACCCGGAAAAGATGGATGTGTTAGAAGCTTTCAGATCTCAAAGAAGCCAATCACCTTTTTGGGGTCCATGATACGTCATTTGACGTGACTCTGTCGCCATATTGCAACACGCGCAAGTCGCGCACACGCGCAAGTCACGCAATCCTTTTTCACGCCATTTTTTTTCTAAGCCCTACGAAGTGTTTAATGCGCTTTTGATGTGTGTACTATTCCCTGCCATGGGCCTCGGGTTTGTTTCAAAAGACAGTCGGATGGTAAGCCTATTTCTATTTCCTATGTTTCCTGTGGCCTGAGAACATCCTCAAACCAGTCGTTTAGCTTTACACATGCTTCACCGGATGCCAACAACTGGCAAGTCCGATGTTTTCGCCTTGAAGATGCTGGTTGGTGCGACTTTCAGGAAGGTTGAAGCTTTCAAACCACCAATCGGTCGACAGTGCAAGAGCTGCAGCAGCTAGTGTTTAGGCTGTCAAATTGCTCTATTGTACTTGTGAGAGAGTTTTGTGTCACACTGGTCCCACTGGGATGATTTTTGGCGTCAGGCAACTGCAACTGTAACTGGGCCATTGCAGATGGTTGCAATGGTCAAAACTGGCAAGCCGCACATGGCAAGGACAACATGCCAACTCAGTCCATTCGTGTGTCCGTTCCAACAGGGTTTTATGATTGTAAAAGAACGGGCACTGAGATGACAACCTTAATTGCTAGCCGCCTTTTCTAATGTGTTTGAACATCCCAACATGGCTGGGGCTTGACCGGCTGCTTAGATCCAACTCAAGCATTGTCACAGGGCATTGAAGAAAAGAACTCGGCACTCTGCGACCACGTCTTTGGGCGGACCTTGGTGGCTACTGTAGCAGGTTTATAGCTGATAGGCCTGATAGGTGATGTTTTTCTTTCTGCGGAGAAGTGCAGGGAATATCTCAGACTAAGCTGGCTTGAGAGTAGCTTCTGCATGCTTCTACCAGACCGTGCCGATGCAAAGATCATGCATCAAGACGGTTCACCTCAGAAAGGGTTTGCCCAAAAAAAAGTGAAAAGAACTTCGAAGAACCATTGCATCCCATGATTTCGAAAACCGTAGCCCCAAAAAGGCTTCATTGCCATGAAGGCCAGTGGAGTATTGCCTACTTTAGGATACTTTAGGATGCTTTAGGGACAAACCCAAATGGCACACTTCTTTCTTCATTCCCTGGCTCCTCGAATGACCTTCCTATTTTTCATTTGGCTTAAAACAAAAATTCTAAATCCTCCTGGCTGTGAGAAACCGGACCCTTGCGATACCTTCCTGGTCGCCCAGTTGTCCAGCTTGGCTCTCATCCCAGCCATCGCCTACCTTGTGGGGGACCTCAGTGGTGGCTCCTGGATAGCAGAGTCTCCGAGAAGTACACTCCATTGACTCCATTGATACATCTTTCGGAAATTGGTTGGATGCTGAATTTTCGCCCCATGCTATCCCTAGTTCGGAATTCCTGACCCATGGTGTCTTGAGAATGAAAGTCGCATAGCCCATGGACCAGGGATTCAGAGTGTCTAGACCAGGTCCAGCCGGTTTTCCAAAAACCAGCCATCTCCAAATTGGTTTGTTTAATGGGGGTTGGGCCCCCATTTTCATGGTCAGGAAAAAATCAGAAAATTGCTGTTCTAACCCGCTGGATTGAGTCAGTATCGTCTTTTTTTTGACCCCAACAACTCAGCCAATTCCCACATTCAGCTTTCCAAGGTGCCCAACTTCTTCATGATCTATGCACTTCTGGGTCACCTGGCATGAGCGGGTGGCTGGGTTCTGTTTCGTTTTCTCAGTCTCGGCGAATTTCCTAGGTCACCCTTTTTGAAGTGCCTCAGTGCCTCATACGTGTCCCTGTTCGGAGCAACATCCTGTGCCAGAGCTCTGTTCCCAAGAAGCTTCAACAGCCCATTCCTGCCAAGCACCATGGTCTTTCTTTGTGATGTAAGTTGTTCCTAGTTGTTTCTGTGTTTTCTTCCCTCCGGCATCCTTAGAAGATTTGGGTTGCCGGTATTCCAAACGACTAAGATTGACGAAGTGCTTGGACCATGTTGGACCCAACGGGCGCTTCGGCACTAGGTCAAGCTGGCTTCCTGGGCGGACAGCAAACAGAAGGAGCTCCGGGAGACTTTAGGATGGACCTTGCATAGACCTTGCATTGATGTCATTGGCCTTACATAGAATTATATAGATTATAGAGATAGACATAGCATATGTATGCCTATGTGTGTTTGTCTAGATAAATCCTCTAAAATCCGTTCTATTGATTCTATTGGGAACGTCAGGAATGTGTATGTGCACCGACAAGATAACAATGGTTTCAAAGGCATGGACGCAACAGGGTCGGACGTTATTGCCTTTTCCTAACCCCCCACAAACCGCCAAAGATTCAGATTGTATTGCGAGTTTCTGCCAGACCGACACCCTTTTGTACGGCTTTACTTGTCTATCTTTTTGATTAGTTTTGGTTCTTGGTGGTTACTATGTAGACATGTTTTCGGGACTGCACCTTCAGTACCTGACACCAGGACTCGCGGCGAATGCCGCCACGGCAGGCGCCCCTGCGCCCTCAGCGCCACCGCAGGTGGGGTGAAACCGGCGAAACCTAGCAGAGCCCATCCAGCACTGGGCCATGCTCAAGGTGACTGAGTGCAGGACAATGCACCAGGAGGGAAGAGGTTCCATCAAGCGAGTCTTAGATCCAGAATGAATCGGACATGAATCTTAGAGGACCGAACATGTAGAGGAATCCCATGGATTCTTCCTAGTGATCTCAATGTTTCAATCTTTCATGGTTGGATTTGTCAATACGGGAACCTTCCGGCAGGCCTGAAACTTGAAGGTGAGAGGCTGGGCCCGTGGTGGTCAGCCAAGGGAGCATTTTTGGGGGGGCTGCCAGATGATCAGACTGCCTGTTGATGCTTGTTGTACAATTGGTAGTTGGCCCCATGAACCATTGGAAAAAAAAAAGGTTATGTTCGCAGCGGAGATGTGGGGAAACCTGCGGATGGTGTGTGGGTCAGGACCAGGACGACAGTTCATTTGAAAAAATGGCAGACACCCGAATTTAGCTTGGAAAATTATGCTAAACATTGCACGGGGGTGAATCTGGATGAATCTGGGACATTACTGTAGTGTTGAAGAGCTAAAGACAGAAGAGCTTGAAATGCCCTGGAATGATTTGTTGATTGCACGAAGCTTTAGTTGTGAACTTCGGTAGACTGATAGGTGGGGCAAGCCTCTTGAACGAGAGTGGTTGGCGGCTGGCACTCGGTGTAAAGCCGGTTTGAATGGGATGGAACTGCAAAATAGGGACCTGAAATGGTGAAGTGGTTCATTTGGTTTGGGTGCCCTATTTCTCCAGGTGGCTCAATGAACCACCTGCGAAGATGTACCATAGAGCCGATAGAACCATCGAAGGATAAGGCAAGAATTTCAATCCCAAATAATAATTCACAAGAATCGATTTGAATGCAGAAAAAAAACTAGTTGATATCTACCCAAAAATTAAAGAATGTACACAGTCGGTGTTAAAATATATATATATATTATAACATAATATAAAATATTCATATTATATTTATATATATAATATCTAATATAGTAGTATTTTAAACAACTATATTTTCACAAACACATAATAGATTGATTTTGCTAAATTATTATTATTTGCTTTACAAATTACGAAAGCAAGCTAAAGATAATTTGACATTATATGTATGAAAAAATAGGTATGATGAATTTAGAATTGATAACTAAGATAATTAATTAATATTGGTTATTAAGGAAATATATTATATTTAAGAAAATTAATGAAGAAAGAAAATTAAGTAATAAAAATATTAAATATTTAAGTTAGGTTTATAATATGGTTATTATATAAAAATATTGATTATTAATAATTAGGATTTTTCGAAATCAAAATAGAAAAAACCAATATAGTGGAATATATAAAAATATATTTAAAATTCCTAACATATTGATGGATATTGATGTTTTGTTTTTAGAAAATAAATTTGTAAAATATAAAAAAAAAATGTTATATTTTAAAGGTTTTTGTAAGGAATTTTAATTACGAAAATTGTGTATGTTATGTTGGAAATTCTTGTGATCTTTTTTTGGATTTGCGGAAAATAAAATGTTATTTTGTATTATAATTATTATATAAAGGGTTGTTACCTGTTGCTACCCGGGGTCCGGCAGGAGAAGGGCACTAAGAATTTCGGTTTGTTTTTGCTTAATTTTTATATGACCATATGTTGGTATTTATGAACAATGACACCCTTTATAGTCTCCTTGAATAATCTTTTATAAAACATATATGTTTTACCTTTATAAAATGATGTTTGGGACTTATTTTATAAAGAATTGATT